TGCTCGTGAACAATGCAAAATTTTCATTGATCCGCCAAGACCACGGAAGACCCAAGAAAAAATAGATGACAGCAACTGCGAGTTGTTTGATAATAATTCAACATCTTCTGACTTTGACCCTTCGTTTGAAGATGACAAAGATTCCCCAAATTTGGAAGTGTTCCATATTTTATTATCACCTGAAATTTGGAGTCTAATAATGCCAGACGATACTACAGAGTCAACGGCAAGGAGGCTAAAGCCAAGAGAGTGGGTAAATCAAATTGCAAATGCCTTTTACTTGAGATATAAATTACCCTGTGCACTCATCGGCAAGTGGTCTCATGTAGCAAAAGATGGGAAAGGATTAATTCATGTGAAATTCCAAGCTCAATGTAAAAGTGATTTGTGTGGCAATGTTTTCAAAGGAAAGGCTGAATATTCAGGGAACGGAAGTATCAGTTTTGAGATCCTAGCCCGCGACACTCGTCAAGAAGATCACGAAGACGTCAAACGTCCTCTAACCCATTCTGAGAGGACTAAAGTTGGTGACCACCTTATCAAACAGCAACCCGAGAATTACAGGAAAGAGCAGCTTCGAAAGAATATGGAATTTGGGGATCGAGTACCGCCGACAATAAGGAAAGGATATGTCTATCGTCAGGCGAAAGCAGAGGCTAACAAACGCCTTTATGGAATTCCAAAGGGAGACAAGAGGGATCAGCTGACCATAGTCAGGGACCTCCTCGTCGACCCCAAATATTCACACACTATCCTCGAGCTTTGTCTCCACCCATTCCATCTTATTTATTGCACAAATGAGCAATTGTACGTATATAAAGAGTATCGTCGAGTGATCGGAAGATCCAAGATCATGTCTGATGCGACTGGAGTCTTGATTAATAAGCTTGAAATAGCTCCTGGGCTTTCGACAGGCCATATTTTTCTATATACGATAACTATAAGTTTCGAACGGAAGACAGTGCCTGTGTACCAAATAGCCACGGAGAGACAAGACGCACCTTTTCTAATCTACTGCTTAAGTCAGTGGCTTAAAACCTGTAAAGTGTCAGCACCCCGTGAAGCGATTAGCGATCAAGAACGAGCCTTGATGTTGGCCCACTGCCAAGCGTTCAACGGATTGACAATAAAGCAATACGTGGATAAGGTGTTCTTATGGGCTGGGTCTAATATTGATAAGGAAGAGAAGCTTTTTCCTGCCACCACCGTGATCAGAATTGACATCGCCCATTTCATGGCCGCTGCTGCTCGATGGGACTGCTGGAAGGACAAGAGCCGGTTTAGATTGAAAAGGTTCTACATGAGAATAATTGCACTTCTAGTGGACTGCTCTTCTCTTAGAGAATTTCAACTAGTGTTTATTCTCTCATGCCTGGTAGCTCTGCTCCCTGTCAATGATTATACTATTCAGTTTCCGAAAGCAGTTCAATTATTCAATAATTGCATGCTCGAGTTAGAGGAGGGGGAAATAAGTGCAGCAATGGCTAGAAGACGTTTAGAAGAATGGATTTCTCTGCGCGGACCTATCATCGATAATCTCCAGAATCTCAGTAATAATGAGACGCTGGAAGTCTCAACTAATTCCCAGGAATTACCAGAAGAGATGGTACCATCTAAAGCATCCACAACAAATAACTGGATCAAAAGACTAATTTCTGTGGTCAAGCCTGAGACACCAGAGAGCCTCCCAGGAGAAATAGAGAATGCTCTCTACTTCCCCCCGATTGTAAATGAGCTCGAAAGAATTGCCAAAGAATTCCCTCTCTGGAGCTCTGCTGCTCTGCCAAATTCTTTCGTTCCAGACCATGCATCGACAGCAGCTCAAGAAGGGTATTTCAATCAATTGAAGCACCGTGTATTCAAGCATATGAAGCTCCCTTGCAATCTTCACATCTTCTTTAAAGAGCACGTGAAAGACATTACCAGCGATCAGAATGAGTTAGGAGCTGAGTTGCGAAGTTTCGTTAATCGACCAAAGGAAAAATCCCCATCACTACCCCAACCTGATGTCTCACCACCACTCCAACCTGGTGCCTCATCATCACCCCCACCCGATGTCTCACCACCACCCCAACCTGATGCATTTGAAGATTCTCCCGAAGATACGATGAAACAAAACATTAATTACACAGGCGACTTGAAAAATCATTGGGAGGATTCGGATTTTGATGCCAAAATGCTGTGGAGGGGACATATTAATGATTATGGTAAAGAGAACTATCACCACGATGGTACTGTAATTAAAGATTCAGAGATTAGTCCTACTGATATGAGCATGAATACAGTGGAATTGTGCTCCGAAATTTTGGATCTTGAGAGTGATTATTTGTACCAGCAGTGTGAAGGGCATCTAGGGAACAACGATGACAATAATAATGAATGGAATTTTGATAGGATTGAATTGATAAACATCAATGCAGCCAACATCAACATGTCAAATTCGATGAAATCTGAACCAGACTTCATTACTAGTCTGAACAATAACGCCAACTATATTCCAGAATCAAACTCCACTGCTGTAAAAGACAAGGAAAGTCATACAGATACTAAACAAGGCAGGAAAGCACCTAGAGAGAAGAGAAAGGGTTGCTACTTTAAAGACTACCCCCAAATTGGAATCTCTAACGAGAATGGTTTGGCCTCCCAAAGAGCAGTATTCTTGCCGAATGCTTCTGTCTCTCCAGTTGTTAAATATAATGGAATAGGGATCAAATTGATTAATACTTGTGGATTCGACAGTTTCGTTCATGTACTTGAATACGCTGCTCTAGATGACTCCAAGTATAGACAATTACTGGAAACTTCAAGTAATGAATTTTTTAAATTTGTTTTGGACTTTCTGAATGATGGTGCGACTACGAAAATACTGCTAAGGCGCTGTGCCCTCCTCTGCAAGCACTATTCTCTGATGAAATCCAGCTATTGCACTTCTCTGGATCCTTTTAAATTAGATTGTGAAGATACGTTGACGCGCATTTGGAGAAAATGTTATGCTGAACCAGTAGCATATCGTGGAACGCATTGCGACAATATTTACTGTTCAGTCGGAAATACGAGAAAATTGTATGATTTAGCCGTTGATCATCATATAATTATTGACAAGGGATTTAGAGAGGGTTTACCTGAAGCAATTGATGTTTGTCGAACTTGGCAATGCAAGATACCTGGATGTGGAGCCACGGTAATAGAGACACTTGACTGTAAAGAAACCGTCTTCGTTGAGCTTGACATTCGCAATTGCAGGGAAGAAAAGGGCAATAGGACGTTGGGATGCCAATTAAGAGATATACCTGTAAAATTGGATCTCGGAAAAGCTTACAGGTGAGTAATATTGATGAAGGTGGTGCACCAACTGACCGATCATTGATCCTTTTCTATTCGTTTTCAGATTAATCGGTATTATAGCATTTATACCTGATATGAAGCACTTTGTAGCTCATTGCCGACGGAGAACTGGTGAGTGGGTTGAAGTCGACGACCTCAGCTCAGGACCGCAACGAGAATATGATGATGTCAAAGTAATCCCATTTGGTGCCTTATATATTAGCAGGTAAATTGAATAATAAAAATCACCCAACCAAAGTACGTGTCAACTAAGTGCGATAGAAAGGACTGACTTATGTGATACTCAGAATATAAATCTGTGATCTATTTAAAAAATGAGAAGATAACATTTCAACTTTTATCATATTTATAAAAAAAAATACGAAATTTGTTCTGTTAATGATATTTAAATGTTCAAACCCTAGCAAAGCTGCATCCATGGAGTTCCATGGATGCTTATATGGATAGGGAATGGGGGTAAATAAGGGTGAAAATGTCCGAAATGAGTGTCCAAAAAATATTAAAAAATTAAAAAGATTGATTAAGTTTCATTTCGGACATTTTCACCCTTATTTATCCCCATTCCCTATCCATATAAGCATCCATTTAAGCATCCATGGAACTCCATGGATGCAGCTTCGCTAGGGAATGAACCCTCAAGCCATACTCGTCAATTTGTTACTTGTGATAGAGTCAATGGTACGAGTAGTTTGTAATGTTTCTATATTTTTATATTCATATTTATTTTCATATGCGATACTAGTGTTTGGATTTGATGCGTGCAATCCACCGCCAATTAAATTTAAGTAATTCCAAGTGGAACTCATTTTAGATGAGCTAGTCTTGTTTTACGTATGAGGCAAAGGAAAAATGTGAAAAAATTCCATGACGAAAAAGTTCGTCTTAGATTCTTATGTATATTTATTTTTGGAATACCTACTAATACATGCTAAAATAGAGCTAAAGGCTTCCAATGCCACATTCTCAATATTAAAGTTCACTCTTTGTTAATGCGATGAGAATAATTGAAAGCATTCAAAAGACTATTGAGGTTGAAATAAAAAAAAAGATGTTTCATTGCAATTATTGTTTTTTTTCACTCCACTGTGCTCTCACTTTTTAATTTCTCAGCATTCAAGGATGATCAGAATCAATCCTCAAAAAGGATATGGAACTTTCTTTCACTTTTTAGATAACATCTCCAGCGACAACTGCACCTAGTGTGAATTCTTCCATGGATGAAAAAACTTGAAAGGTTTTGAAAGGGCCCTTTTGATTATTAGCAACAAACAAATGAATTCGAAGGGAAATTAAAAATGTGTAATTACAAAAAAATTAGATGTTGACAATCAATCAAAACTTATATGATGTAAACAAACACTTCATGCACTCCCAACTGCAGCCAGAGATGGCGCCAAACGCACAGCTGATCGTGCCCCCGCACGCGATTAGCCCCCTTCTAAGACGGAATCACAAAATAATTCATTAATAAATGAATATTAATTCCTAAATTCTGAATCAAAGTGTTTTGGTCTTCCCAAATCATTTTACATCGATCTGAGCCGGCCCGATCAAGATTTGATGATCCACCTGCTAACTATACGTCTATAAAAAAAAAATTAATTATAAATAAACTATTAGTTCCTAAACTATAAAACTCACTCCTAAACTATCCTAAACTATTCCCAAATGATTAGAATTGGTTTTATTTGGAAATTCGGTAATTACCTTCTAACTATACGTCCGTCATTTCGGTAGCGGAAATGGGCCGCAGGTATAGGGAGTCATTAGGTAGCTTATTTCCCTCGTTAGGTAGCGTTATCCGGGGCTTTGGTAGAGGCATCGGGATCTCTAACCAAAAACTGTTTTACCTACGGGGCCACCACCACGCCGGGAGTGCAATAAAATTTCAAGGTAGCGGAAAGGTCCTCCGATGCAGGGAGCCCTTAGGTAACGTGTTTTCCCGGTTAGGTAGCCTACTCAATATCGATTATCTAAACCAATAGGGTCTGCAGGGTAGATATCCGTACAGGTAGCAAATCGAAATATTGAAAATTACGGAAAGTGCCTCAGACCCTAGGGAATGTATAGGTAGCCTATTCCCCTGTTTAGGTAGCGTAATTTGGGGTTTTGGTATGAACTTTCCCGATCACGGGCGAAATCGACAACCGTGCTTGGGCAGATATCCGTAACCCAAGATTTTCCCGTTTGATTATTGAGGGATTACTTCGTGATTCCACTGTTGTACGGGTCTGAACGGCGAACTTATTAATTAATGCACGGATTATATTCCTAGCGAATTAATAAATTATATATCCGATGGCGTCTCCGAGACTGCCAATAATTAATCGGATTAATTGGCTAATTAATTACGTAACCATATAAAAGTAATCCTAATTCACGAGAGGTAGCATGATAGCTTTTATGGATTCCAACCATGAAAATTAATCAACTAAGAGATAGCGTCCCCAGACCCAACCGGAATCCACAAAATGGCGAACAATTACGTCTCGGGGAGCATTATTGCATCACCCAGAGAAATTGATCCAGCCTCGCGAAGGTAGCCGAAGTTTTTAATAAGAGGTAGCAATAAAATTTTTAATGTAACGGTAGCAATAATTTGAATGGAAGGTTAACGATAAATTTTTATTAAAAGGTAGCAATTAAATGTCAGTCGAGGTAGCAAAAATAAGCCCGGTAAAGGTAGCAAAAATTATCAGGTAGCGGGGTCTTTTCCTGAGCTCGTCGGATGAGCCTAGAAAACCCAATAAAGTAGGTAGCAGGGATCGAAAAATTAGTAAAAATTAGTACGTCGAGTTAGCGTGGAGAATAGGCCGTCATTGGTAGCATGGGAGAGGGGTATTCCGAGCCGCGTGGAATGCCTCATCCCGTATATTTCGCCTTTTCGTGGCGAAATTAAATTCCAAAAACCTGTTTAAAATGATTAGATAGCTGTTGGTAACACGAGGGAGCATAGGTAGCCGTTGAGAGAGGCCCTTTGGCTTTCTCAACCATGAGTTTCCCGTATGGCGTCATTTCGCGAGGTAGCGACGCCATTTGCGAATTTTCGTGGCCGCGACATCTAATTACCCGAAAATCACTCTTCCCGCACTTATTGGCACTTAATTAAACACTCGGGTACTTACCAGGGTGCTCGTGGAATCTCGGGAATGCAGTTTTGGTGGTGCAGATACTCTGGGGTAGGAGTGTGGTGTCCTCTTTATGATGCACTATCGGATTTTCACGCACGTGTGTCGAATAACAGCCCGGGAGAAACTAACGCCGGCCGGTCGCGTGGTTCCGTTCGAACCTGTTGCGCGTGGTGGGGGATCTTCATCGAGTCTGCCCATCCGGTGGCGGCCCGCGTGGTTACGTACGGAACTACTAATACATTCTAATTTTTCCCTGCTCGCGGCGCGTAACAAATTCTACTTTAAAATTGGGGTTTTGTATTTTTACTACTGTGTATTAATATTAATGTTATTTTCTATTAGGCTGAGGTTCTATTAACTATGCTAACCGGCTTTTAGCCGAAATGAAGTTTTTCAAGGGGTTTTGAGCGAGATTTTGGGGGAGCGGATTTTTGCCCCGTCTATGCCTATTATCAGGTAGCTAATCCGGTAGGGACCCTCTCCGGAGAGGGATTGGGGATCTTCTAACGAAACTAACTAATCCTAATTTATCTGTAACTATAACTAAACCTAAATTTTCTGTAACCGTAACTCAACCAAAATTTTCTAAACCGTAAAGCTCTTGGCAATCCATGCAAGCGAGAGAGCTACGTTCGCTCACATGGCCTTCCACCCATACTAAACTGAAGATTACCCCAACCCTCTCACAACTAAGGGAGCGTAGGTGTCTCAACCTAACCTATGGGTTCTCCTATGCAATCAACCCAAAAGGGTTTCAGGGACTACCGGAAGCACAGTATATCGGCTAATTTTTCTCGATAGTCCCCGCCCCTTAAACCGATTTCGTGCAGACCATTCTCAACTATTATACGGGGGATTTAAGGGGAATTTAAACTATTTCCTATTCGATAACTGTAACCGAATTTTTATCAGGGTTCATCTAAACTGTAGGGATTTAACTGCTGCCTCTACTTACTACTTTAATGATTATCTTAGCGTCGCGAGCCTGGGGGAAAATTAGAGAAGGTATCAGGTAGCTGTCTCCGAGAGGAGATTAGGTAGCAGGTAGCTAATTACTCGGGGATTATTGAGGTAGCTTTTCCCCGGATTATATTTAGATAGCAGGTAGTTTTTGCGAGTTTTACCAAGGTAGCAGGTAGCTTTTCGCGAGTTTAACTAAGGTAGCAGGTAACTTTTACGGGTTTTACTAAGGTAGCAGGTAGCTATTAGATGCGGGTCCCGGGATCCGTGTTGGTTGAGTATTTTATTAAATTTTCGCGGTTCTCTCTCGCCCTTAATCTAGGAAGTTACCCTACGGGAATACAGGTGACCGATTCGCCTGGAATTTCGTCACAAACTTAATCAGATCCGATAGAAATAACTCAATGTTCGCCAGTGGGACGGCAATAATAATTAAAAATAATATCAAATTCAAAACAATAACTTCCCCAAATTCAATGATCAATACTACTCTTGAATTTGCAATCATGAAAATCGAAAAAAATACAAAAAATTGACTATTCATAATAAGCGCCTATGTTAGAAACTCTAATTTAAGCAAGCAAGTCTTTTATAGGGAATTAAATAACCATTTGGAAGGACTTAAACTATATAAAGAAAACAATTATTACATATTAATGGGAGATTTACACGCTAGGCACCATTCTTACGGGGATTCCTGCAATAACACCCGAGGTCATCAACTTCGAAATTGGGAATTAAAAAATGAACATAAATATAGATTAAACCTCATCCCCCCAAATGACTACACCTATCCTCAAGCTCAATCATTTCTAGATTCAGCGTTAATCGATTCAAGATTAATTATTCAGAATCTACAATGGTAAAATAGCAACCTACCGTTACGATAGCTCAATCATTTCTAGATTCAGCGTTAATCGATTCAAGATTAATTATTCAGAATCTACAATGGTAAAATAGCAACCTACCGTTACGATAGCGATCATAAAGCTCTTGCCATGCGAGTAGAAATAAATAATGCATTACTCATAGATACAGTAGATCCCTGTAATAAAGAATATTTCATATATAAAAACACTAACTGGGAGAATTTTACTAATCATCTAGAAAAAAATTATCGTTCTCGAGTATCAAATGTTAGGAACCTCACTAATGGGGAAATTGACGAATACATCGGAAATCTAACCTCATATATTAACACAACCATAGAATCACAAGTACCTAGAAGCAAACCCGCTGGAAATATTTACAAATATTCCAACAAGAAGATCCTTAGATTACAAAAAAGAGAATCAAAATTACTTACACTATACCATAGCCTTCTGAAAAAAGACCCTAAAAAAAATAATAGAGAAACCCTT